ACAAATACTTAGTTAAAATATTGTGGAGATAACTGCAGCTACTGTAGACCTTATGAAAAAAGATGCCATATTTGTTGATTTTTTTTAGTAATTTTCAACCTGTGCCATTATAGAGGTTTATACATGGCATGCCGCAAAATTTTTTAAAGGTCATTAATTAGTTTTGAAATATGCCTTCCGATTAATGGTATACACATTGGATTTAAAATCCTTTTAAATTGATTTGAGGATAATCATTGTTATAATAAATAAACGTATACATAATGGATCATGGTTAAAATCCTTGAAAATTTTGTGTTTATGATATCAGTTTAAAATTTGGCCTTGCAAATATTTTTTTAAAAAGGTCAAGATCAAATATCTCGTTAAATGCTAAATTATAATAAACACAACAATATTATTATCTTTTTTTACAATTATTTTTTTTTTTGTTAATAAATAAATCATAAAAAGTATATTCTATTTAAAATTATCATAATTAGTGTATCAGCAGAGGTTCTTTTTGAAATAAAAAAAAAGGTTGAAAAAAATTAGTTTTTTTTGTTAAATCAGTGTTTTCAACCATTTTTTATCTTAAACTTCATAACTTAAGATATATTATTAAAAATGATTAAATGTTAAACAAAATAATAATTAATAAAATTTTTTTTAAACAAATAAAAATATTATAATCGTTTTGGTTTCTCTTAAACAGTACTTAACAAAAATTATATATTTAAATCAAAGCTAAACGGTTTATGAAACATTGTTAGATTTTGTTTTGTAAAATTTCCATTTTAATAATTTAAAAAAAAAAACACAAAAACATATTTGGAGACATCCAAGGTGTATTGTAAGAAGATTCATTTTTTTTAAAATTATTATATATATATAAAAAATATTATTATTACTATTTATTATTGAATCAAAAAAATGGGTTTAAACACACAAAAATTTGCATTTATGGTCTGAACTGAGTCCCTTCATTTGTTATATACAGAGAGTTGGGAAGAGAAGTTTCAAAAGGCATTCAGAATTGAAAGCAGAAGGTAATCAGATTTTCAAGGAAGAATTTAATAAGATTTAAAACTTGGGAAAATCAAATTTTCAATGAAGAACTGAATTTTTGATCAAGAAAACCAATCCAACAAAACTTATTCCGGAAGGCAATAAGAACCCAGAGGAAAAAATTTTGCCTGTCACCAGCAAAAATGGATACAAAAGAAACTAAAACCTGTTATCTTAGAACAAGCGTTCTAATAATTAATAAATTATAAAATATCCCTGGGACAAGACGATTTGAAAAAAGAAAAGACTTTCTTCATTTTTTTTTTTTTTTCATCTTATTGCTTAACAAAAAGAAAAAAAAATCGACCACATTCGTTGGTCATAGGAATTATCATCAGAAACGTTTCTTGGTTTCTTTTTTCACCACCAATATTTCTTCCTTCCATTTCCCTTTTTTTACACTACTTCTCTCTCCCCTCCCGAATAGAAAAAAAAACAGTTAGGAACATCAATCAAGACAGCATTATTGTCTCAAATTCTATAAATGTCAACCATTTATTGTTCAGTCAGTGAATGCTGAATGATTATTTCTGAAAGTTAGGTTAAGGACCAACAGGAATTCTTTATTGGGATGTTTTATTTAAAGAATTCTATCATTGTTAAAAAAAATTACAAACAGAATTACTAAAAGTCGAAAGGATAAATGTCGAGTAGAGTCAAAGACAAATCTATAGAACAATAAAAACATACAAACCTAAAACTTCATTAAGACCGATAATTTCGCAAATATTTCTACCATAACAGCGAAAAAATAAATCGAATTATTAAATTGACCTTCTCTCAAAATAAATTCCAGCGTAAACTCTATACGTATTGATTCAAATTCTTAGAAATAATAATTGTAAAACGATGTAAAAGTATCAGTAATCATAAAAAATCTATTCAAAAACGTACTTATCAGTGAATCCATTAGACAATTGGTTATGGTGGGGTTCCTTGTACCACGGTGATAGTCCAAGGTAGAACCAATAAAGAAGAACTCGAAGACGGGTATGGAATAACACAGATATATTACAAACAGGAATATATACAGAGAAGTAGAAAAGTGTTAATACGAACAATCAGGTTTAGTAGTAATTGTCTGAACATGACTCTGTTTCGGACTGCCTCTGACTCGACTGACTGACTCGCTCGCTCTGACTGACTGACAGACTTCTGACGGACTTCACTCCAGACATCAGACTGAATGGTATTTAGTCACCCCACCCACGAGGGTATCAGGTGGCACAAGGCCGGTTTAACGTGGGATGTCCGAGCCCGTAGGCTCGGCCAAAAATATGCTCTTTGAATCCGTATAAACGGGTTCAGTGTCGGTTTACCTCCCAGAAAGAAACTTCTCCCTTCGGCGTAGCCTCGTTCGGGTTCCTCCCCGCCCGGAAGCAGAGAGTTCAACCGATCAGCCGGTCGCCCGACTTCGGACTGAACGATATTCAGTCACCGTCCCACGAGGGTGTCATGTGGCACAAGGCCTTTTTAACGTGGGATCTCAGAGACCGTGGGCTCGACCAAAAATATTCCTTTTGAACCCGTATAAACGGGTTCAAGGTCGGTTTACCCCCCCCCCCCAAAAAAAAAGAGAATCCGCCCTTCGGCGTAGCCTCGTTCGGGTTCCTCCCCGCCCGAAGGCAGAGAGTCCAACCGATCAGCTGGTCGCCCGACTTCGGACTGAACTCCCTGCTTCCTCTTGAGGCGCAGTATTTATTACGTATGTAATAGTCCATTATGTTATTATGCGTAAGGTCCCATAACACATGATAAGGAAAACGTTGATAAATATCCATCATTTCCACAATAATAGGACTCTCAGTTTTCTTAAAATCTAATATGCGCCTACATCTCACAATTTTGTTGTTATGCGCACTTACGAAATATATACAAACAAAAATGTGTCCCCCTCACCATGGAAATGTTAATATTATCCCTTCTCTACAAGAAAATATTTTGTATTCATTGACCGAACGGCCAGTTTCAGTTTCGGCTGAAATTTATAAAACCTTTCTCTTGAAACATCCGTCCTGGGTATGACGATAAACTACATCCGCATCTTTTGGAAGGCGATAAACTACGTCCAACAGCAAGGTCTCTGATCAGGAGGTTTAATTTAATTGCTGGTGTTCCTGGGTCCACCCAGGTCCACCCTGACCCGGGGTTGTAGTACCGGTTAGGGTCCCAGCTATAGGCAAATAGCTAACCCCCGACAAACTGGGTTGAAAACACTACAAAAGTGTAAAAATAGGTTTTAATACCAGAAATACTTTGTGAAAAATAATTATTACCAGCAATATATTTTTGAAGAAAAAATATATCACAAGCTGTATAAAAAAAAAAAAAAAAAAACTTTACTAGCATTAAAAAAAAAAATGTCGGCATTAAATAACTCACTGAGGTTGATATGTCGTCAAACAAACCAAACCAAATCAAGCCAATCTTAAAATATTTTTTTCAGAAGAAAAATAATACATTATTTACATTATTTGGACTATTGACCTCATTTTTGTCGCCATATTTATTACAATGCTTCGGCCGTTGTACGCTCCGGCCTTCTTCAGGTGGTTGGAATGTCAAACTGAACCCTTTATTTCGCCCACTGGTGTAGACTGTTCTAGTTCACCGTGTCATGTTTAATGGATGTCAGTTAGCAGTTATCCCCTATTAATTTCCCTCTGAAATTTCCCCACTGCCTTAACCGGGTATTAAAATCACACTCTTTGGGTCCTGTCACTGGATCTAACTAACGCCTTTATCCACTGTGACATGGGTCCTGAAGAAGGCCGGAGCTATAGAACCGCCGAAACTTTGTAATAAATATGGCGTCAAAGATGAGGACAATAGTGCGAATAATGTAAATAATGTACATAATACCTCATCTCAGAAATAAAAACAAAAAAAATCTTTTCAATCCAGTAAGTGTTATTACTCTTTACAGTATTGATGAGGGTTTCCTTCCTAACCTTTTGTTTGAAGTCGTGTGGAATGTCAACATCTTGATTATGTCATTATTTTTTCTTCGGTTTGCATGTGCTGTCCATTTTAATTTCTGTTAGTATTGGTAGTCCACGAGTGATGTGGTTTCTGTTAATTGGTACTGTTCTTTGTTTGTGATTGTGTAGCGCCAGTCTTGTAACACCAAAGACGAACGGAAGGCATGGATTATGCCAACATTCAAAAAATTACACAAGGTGTCCATCCAGAGGTAATGCAGGAGATTTTGAAGTTGTCTAGGGGCTGTGGTTAAAGCCAATGGCGATTATACTGAATAACTTACTCTTTAGTATTGTAAGATATTTTGGTGTAATTTTAGTAAATATATCTGTTAAAAGGTGATGTCAGTGTTATTTTCATTTGTGTGATTTAGACAACACTTTATCTATCGCACCCTATATTATAAGGAAAGTGGGTATGGAGAATATGACACTTAGAGATTGAAAGCCAAAGGCTTTGTAGGTATAATTCAGACAACTAAGGATTTTAAGCAGGTGTATCTTAGAACTCTGAATGTGAAAGACAGTAAGAGGAAACATTATAGTTTAACCACAAAAGACAGGAAGACATGGTGAGCAATGATTATAACGGATTGAAAGAAATTTTGAAAATTATCTAAGAAATTATTCACTTCAATGTGCGTTTCCTTTAAGATAAACTTGAATAAAAAAACGTTTTCGCCATAGCCATGTAAGGAGGCCACGAGGCAAATACATCACATTTAAGCTTTCGACATGCGGGAATATCGCAGAGTCCTTATAGTGCCAAGGACAAATAAATAGGTGCTTGATACAATTAGAACAAAGTACATATACAGAAAGCAGATGACACTAAGGGAGTTCCGTTACTTCGGGTATATTATTCGACGAGGCAGCTTCAATAACGACATTCTGCTGACCACAGTGAATTGCAAGCGTTGTCAGGGACGCCAGCCATGTCTTTGTATAATGACATTAAAACGTGGTGTAAAATTATGGTGGCTGACTCTGTAAGGACAGTATCTGAGAGAGAGAGAGAGAGAGAGAGAGGAAGAGAGGAAGACAGAGAGAGAGGAAGAGAGAGAGAGAGAGAGGGATTGCCAGGGACGACCAGCCATATCTTTTGTATGGTGACATTAAAACGTGAACTGAAATTATGGTGGCTGACTCTGTAAGGGGGCAGTATCTGAGAGAGAGAGAGAGAGAGAGAGAGAGAGAGAGAGAGAGAGAGAGAGAGAGGAAGAGAGGAAGACAGAGAGAGGAAGACAGAGAGAGAGAGAGAGAGAGAGGGAGGCACGACCAGCCATGTCTTTGTATGGTGACATTAAAACGTGAACTGAAATTATGGTGGCTGACTCTGTAAGGGCAGTATCTGAGAGAGAGAGAGAGAGAGAGAGAGAGAGAGAGAGGAAGAGAGGAAGACAGAGAGAGAGGAAGAGAGAGAGAGAGAGAGAGAGGGATTGCCAGGGACGACCAGCCATATCTTTGTATGGTGACATTAAAACGTGAACTGAAATTATGGTGGCTGACTCTGTAAGGGCAGTATCTGAGAAAGAGAGAGAGAGAGGAAGAAAGAAGAGAGAGAGAGAGAGAGAGAGAGAGAGATGGAGCGGTGTGGTGTCCAGAGCGGTGCAAAATGCATTAACTGAATAAACGATGCTGATTAATAAACATTTTAAATATCTGACCAACAATAAATAGGACAACGATCAGTTTAAAATTCAATAACAGACGCTGACATAATGTGGAACTGGGAAACAGCGACTTTATTACGGTGAAGCGATACTGCGAACCGGTAGAGGGCGCTTAGAAGAGTTTTAATTATGTATGGCAATTAGTCCTCGAATGCGTTAGGGATTAATATTACATTCCGTCTTGGAGAAGGAATGCTGATAGGCAAATTAAACCAGTGTATAAGGTCATTACCCCCACCGAAATGTTACGGATAATAAGTGACAAAATATAGTTGCACCGACAAATATACAGGTTGTCCATAAAGTTCGTGTGCACTTTAAGAAAATTATAACTTTATTTGTATTTGTGATAGAAATAATTTGTAAACGAGAATTAGAAATCGATATTTTTTAAGGTTTTATTGAAATTTTATTTAAGTTTCCACATGTCCTCTATCATTAGCAATACAAAGGGTAATACGATTTTGCAGTTGACGGAAAATATTTGCCAACTGATTTACAGTAATGCCTGAAATCACATTAGTTATTTTAGCTATACTTAAAACTAGGCACATTAAACTTTATAACATTTTTTACAGATTATTTCTATCACAAATACAAATAAAGTTATACATTTTTTAAAGTCCACAAGAACTTTAGGGACAGTCTGTATGACATTAGGCCCTAAAGAATTCAAAAGATTTCGTATGAAATATAGGTACCAATCATTTGTGATTTGTTAACAATGTTTCGACTGTTGAGGTGTCCCTTCATAAAGATGAATTTCTTTTTGTCTACTAATGTTCATCCAATACAAGGCTTAAGAGCCACTTAAGGTAGAGGGCTACTGAATGAGGAGCTTCATATGAACATAAAATGAAGAACAAGGAAGTGAATATTATGATGATAAGGAGATAGTTAATGATAGGTAGTAGAGTCTAAAAGATTAATATTATTGCATTTATTAGTATTATCTGTTTATATTTCTGAGAAATTGTAACTAGTTTTCAGTTTTCTCATCTTTATTGGCATATTTACGAACTTTCGGCCGTTGTACACTCCGGCTTTCTTCAGGATCTGTCTATATTTCTGAGTTGAGTTATTGTAATTATTTGCATTATTTACATTGTTCGGACTGCTGTCCTCATCGTTATTGTCATATTCACGACGTTTCGTTCGTTGTACACTCCGACTTTCTTCAGGATCTGTGTATATTTCTGAGATATTCTGAGGTATTGTAATTATTTACCTTATATACATTGTTCGGACTGATTCCTGTAGAAGAGAGTGACGCACAGGTTTAAATAAATCGTTCATATATGCGACTAAATCAACTCCTTTAGTTAATTATGCAGCATCTCAATGCGAGAGATTTCATCCACACAGTGACTCCTCGCTAGAGTGATCAATCATAGAAAAGCTGAATAGCCTCATGAATGTTTCGTCAATTGAGCTGTTACCATGGTCCCAAGTATTGCTCTCTGAATTTGTAGTTGATTCACATAAGTAGATATATCGTAATTAACGCATAATTTATAAAATTTACATTATTAAGACTGTTGTCCTCATCTTTATTGCCATATTCACGATATTTCGGCTGTGGTACGCTCCGGCCATCTTCAAGATGTTTATATCTCTGAGAAGATGTATTGTAATTGTTTACCATATTTAGATTGTTCGGTCTGTTGTCCTCAACACGATGTTTCTGCCATTCTACGCTCCGGGTTCTTCAAAGTCTGTGTATATATCTGAGATGGGATATTATAACTTTTTTACACTGTTCAGATTATTGTCCTCATACTTATTGTCATATTCACGAC